TTAAGTAAATTCTAAAAATTAAAAATAATATTTTAAAAAAGAAAATTTCAGAAATAAATTTTTTAAAAATTTTTGTTGGTTATAAACTCAGACAGTAGCTTGATTTTTGAATTGTAGTTTGTTAAACAATTTTAGTTTGCATCAATTTAAATACTTTTGGGAATTAAATTCAAATTGCATTTAAACACGATTTCAAATCGTTTTCTTGAACCATTCGATTGCTGCTTACATTACTTAGAGATCATGAATTTTGATCTGTGGTTCACAAGTTAAATTTCCTTTCATCAATTGTGCGGCATCAAATTTAAATTGAAACGAACTGAAAGAGCCAACCCAACACACACCCATTTCACGATCCGTTTGGAATATGCATAATGTGAGTCGCGCATTTTTGAATCCTGAGTATGTGCTTATGTATACAGAGAGAAAGAGCCGCCTGGCTTATGACAGATGCTGTCGCTGCTGCTGCTGTTGCAGCTTCAACAAATGTACGCTGACCCTGGCAACTGCACTGCACAAAGCTCTGCCCAAACAACAATGGTCGAGCGGAGGTCAATTGGAGGCTATGAGGAGCTATGGCAAAGAGCGAGTGAGAAAGCGAGAGGAAAGCCAACGGAGTAGGAGTAGGAGAGGGGGTGGGGAGCTGCTCTGGTGAACGCGTTGATCCACAAACGTGTCGTTAACTAAGGCGCAGTGATTTTCAATTGCAGAACGCGACACACAGCTACGTGTGTGTGTGTGTGTGTGCGGCACGTGTGTGTATGTGTGTGCATAAGCTTATAGGTGCCACTGACACAGCTGTGTGTATGGCTGGGTGTGTGGGTGGGTGCGGCCTGCCTGCATATTGACAAGTGCGGCCGTTGGGGGATTTATTAAGGCTAACGTATGAAAATTTTGCATACTAAACGCTGCATAAATCGAATCGTATGCGACAAATAAAAATTGCCCAAAAATGCAAAAACAGCTTCATTTGCAAAACTGTTATATAGACGTGGGTATATTGGTTGGGTGGCCTGGGTGCCCGGGGTGGCTGGGTGCGAGTGGGTGGATAAATATCGTGTTGCGTCGTTGAGCAGCTTAGGCATAATAAACATACGCAAACGAAAACAAACAGACAGATTTACATATAAACAGTGCTAGAGAGACATATATACATACATACGATTGCAAAACGCATGGCAAGGAAATGTTAAATGACAATAATAACAACACAGCAACAGCAGCAACAATAGCAACAACAGCAACAAGGATACAATAACCTTTCCATTCTCGCATATTCGCTTGATGCCGTTTTGCTGTGCAAATCTCAAAATACACTACAAAACACATTACACACACACACACACACACACACACACACAGTCACACACATACATGCATATTGTATTGAGCCATTCACAAATTCAAACAAAATTCAAATCTAACGCACGTTTCTATCCCAACTATCATGCACATGCTACCCACCTGAGCCCCGCCCGCCGCCCTCTTCCCGCCTCTTATAAGTCCAACCTCCCAGTTTTGGGTTGGCTGCCTTTCAATTCGGGCAGAGGCAAAACGATTTAGCCAGCAGCTTAACAGCAACAGGGACAATCAAGCAGCACACAACAGCAAAGTTTTCGGCTCTAATCGGAACTTGCTCTCAATGTAAATGCAGCACAACCTTATGCAGGGAGATATGTCATATATATGCTATAGATAATATATATACAGAAATTTGGAAATTCTGTTAATATATGGAAAAGTCGAATAGCGTTAATTCTAGAACTTTTCAGTTGAAGGAACATTTAATGATGGAAAAAAAATTATAAAAAAGATTGTAGAAGACTAGATCAGTAAATAATTCACACAAGATCAATATGACTATAGATAAGCTGTATAAAAATATATTAAAATATATTTGAATAATTGGTTTATATTGTCTATGAAAAAGTGTATTTATTTATGTATTTATTTATTAAAATCTAAGGACTCCGAAAATAATAAATCAAAAAAAAATGTATATATGCATATAAAAATAAAAAATATTTAAAAAACCCCTTAAAACAAAATAAAATATATTAAATTAAAAATAAAAAAAAATAGAAATAAAAAAAATTTCAAAAATTAAAAATAAAAAAATTTTTAAAATTCAAAATACGCAAAATAAGCTGTATTAAAATATATTTAAAATATTTGCATAATTGGAAATATAGTGTAAGAAAAAGTGTATTTATTTATTAAAATCTAAAGACTCCGAAAATAATAAATAAAAAAAATATATATATATGCAAAATAAAGAAAAAATATTTAAAAACCCCTTAAAATAAAGAAAATGTATTAAATTAAAAATAAAAATAATGTATAAAGAAATAGAAATAAAAAAAATTTCAAAAATTAAAAATAAAAAAAATGTATATTCAAAATACTAAAAAAATTTGTATTTCTCCAAATTCCCCAAAAAATGTTACCATAAATTTTTTATTTTTCAATAAAAATTAAAGCTTTATATATATAAAAATAACAAACTGAAAGTCTTGTAAGAAAATATGGAATATATAATATATTAAATATGTGTATTTTTTAATGAACATTTCAGTTCTTTCACTTTATAATTTGTATATATTATATATAACATATATTCACATATTTTCTTCTTTAGCTAAAGACCCCAAAGACATTCAGGTTTCCCTTCAATCTATCATAGACAGACACAGACATAAGGCAGACACTGTGTGAAGAGCAGACGGCAGCGCGTGTGGCAATTGAAAACTTACAGGCAGCACAGAGATGCCATAAATTGGACATAATACCAAAAGCAACCTGTTGAGCTCACAACGCAGAGCTCAGAGCTCAATGCGGAGCAACAAAAAAGAGCAACGCGAAAGCGTTGCGTATACGCCGCGAGTGCCGGCAGTAACAGCCAAGGAATCAACTCAAATGCGCCTACACAAATGCTGCTGGCAGCTTGTTGTTGTTGTAGTTGTTGTTGTAGCTGTTATCCTGCATTGGCCACAGCTACAGCCGCATGGCCCAAATAGCTCCACAAGTGTGTGTTGACGCAACAGACCAAACGAGCGTGCTACGAGTGTGTGTGTGTATTTGGGGGGTGTAAGTGTGTGTCCCTTCGTGCTCTCTGCAACCACAGCGAAAGCAAAACGAATGTTTGTTTGCACACAAGAGACAGAAAGTGCGAGAGAGAGAGTGAAAGAATGCGAGAGGCAGAGGCAGTGGCAGTGCGAATGCCAGATGGAAGGTAAAATAAACGTTATGAATGCTTCATATGCTTAATCCAGGGGATTTGGATGCATATGCGATGAGTGTGTGCTGCATAAGTGTGTGTGTGTGTGTGTGCCTGAAATTTGAATGGGAGCTATCGAACAGACGTGTGTTTGTATTGGTATGCAAAAGGATTTTAGATTCGGCAAGCGACAATCTATCTGACAAATACAACAGCTACCAAGCAACTGTAGCTGTAGCTGCAACTGTAGATATATATGTATGTATATGTATATATATGTTTTGTGAATGTGACAAAGATACACGCTTTGTCCATGGCTAAACTAGTATTGATGAACTAAACAAGATTACCGCAGCAGGGCCACTCTCAAAGATGCGACAACAAGCAAGCGGATGTCTATATATATAGAGAGACATATATATATATACTTATATAGATATATATACTATGTCTGCTTATAACCTGGTTAAAGTTGCACAAATCCTTAAAGCTGCCATGCAACATGGGGCACACACACACAAATAATCATCAGTTTGTGAGGCTGGCATTTTTATAATGATGTGGTTTGCCTCTACTATTGAACGTTCCACAGAGGCTGCTGCTGCTGCTGCCGCTGCTGTTGATACACTGCCCCGGATTAAGGGTATTTGTGCATTGGTACAGAAATAGCAAAGCGATCGACCCCAACTCCTCAATTTCTTTAGTTGGGATTTAGTTTCGCTTTCGGATTTATGTGTGATTTATGCAACAATTTCGACTCCCCGAATTCGATTGCAATTAGAGCCCTTAATCAGTTTTGTGGGCTTCTAAAATATTAAGCGATTGGCGTGAAATTTCAATTTAGTAGCGTGAAATTTACTAAATTTAATTAACTGCATATATACCATAAAATTAATATGCAATTTGGCGCATATAAAGTTATTCATGGCGGGGCTTTTCACTAAGAAATTGATGCTTTCACGACATATTTAATATTTGTTAACTGGTTTTAAAGTTGGTTTGGTTAAAAACCAAATTCTTTGCGAAAATATTTAAGCAAATTTATGTAAATTTCAAGATTTTTAAAATGATTTTTAAGGCATGTGATGATTTGTCTATCATTAATAAATATCATATTAGTTACTTTCCTAATTTTCTATCTATCTTTCTATACTTAACATAGACATACACTTTGTCTCTTCCTTTCATGGTCATTATGTATCTATATCTATATATATATATATATATATATATATATATATATCTTTCTCTTGCCTTTCTCTTTCTCTCTTCTTATCTTGCGCCTTTATATATTGTGTTCTTTCTTACTCTCTCTCTTAATATGTTTTTAAAATCACTTTCGTTCATTCCCTATATCTTCCTCTCTCTCTCTCTCTCTCTCTCTCTCTTTCTCTCTCTCTCTCTTCCTATATTTCTTTTTCTTCGGGCATCTATTAATTATATTTCCTACTCAAAATTTTTGTTCTTCTCAATCTTTTACGCTCTCCTCTGGCTCTGTCTCCCACCTATCTCTGTCTCTCGCCCTTCACCTTATATTTTGCCTCTCTCTCTCTATCATAACTCAAGCACTCTAACCAAGTCTTCAAGTACTTTTCTATATTTGTATATTCCCATCTCCGATTTCTTTTCTATAAATTCTCTTTTTTCGTTTCTTTCTGTGTTTCTCTCTCTGGCTCGCCCTTCTACCAGTTTTACTCTACGCATCTCCCTCTCTTTCTCACCTACTCTACTTAAGCCTCCCTTTTCGGCACACCTTAGCTTTAACTTATTTTTAACTAGATTTATAAAAATTGCTTAGTTACTCACGATTTACTTTGCTGACATCGAAATCTCGTCGAGCTTCCAGTGCTGGATGACTGAGCAGCTTCTCGGCTTGCTGCTGCGCCTGCACGCCCACAGCCATGCCCAGCGCAGCGGGCGGTAAGCAGGAGATGCTGCCGCGCTCCTCACGCTCACGTTCGCGTTCGCGTTCGCGTTCTCTTTCGCTCTTGGGTGTCGCCGCTAAGGAGGCATTTTGACTAGAGCCCGCAGAGGAGGACAACGCGTTGCCGCTGCCAGACTCGGTGTTCAGCAGCAGCTGCTGTGATTGTTGCTGCTGCTGTTGCTGCTGCTGTTGGTGCTGGTGCTGATGGGGCAGCAAGCCCAGAGCCGGCGGACTGCCCTCTGTGGAACGTCGCCCGGCGGCATTTGTTGTCTCTGCTGCAGCCTGTTGCTGCTGCTGCTGTTGCTGCTGTTGTTGCTGCTGTTGTTGCTGCTGCTGCTGCTGCTGTTGATGCTGCTGATGCTGCATCTGCAGCTGTGTCAACTTCTCCTGCACTCCCTGCAGCGAGCTGCGTCTGTGCTGTAGCTGGCCAAGGGCAACGCCAACGCTGGAGTCCTCGGGGAGGACGCTGTGTGTCGGCGACAGTGAATGCTCCTTCTTGACGGCCATGTCCATGAGGCTAGCAGCAGCCGATGGCGATTTGACATTGGCAGCAGCCACCACAGCTGCCGCATTGGCCGCCCGTGTCAGAGCCAAAGCCTGACTCTGTGCATGGAAGAGACGAAGAGGGAAGAGAAATGAGTCTCGATTCTGTTTATTTGTTTAGCTAAGTGTGGAGGCGTTTACAATGCACGAATTTCACTTTGAGCGCCAACATAAACAGCCCAAATACATTATTTCTTCTGCTTTTCTTCTTATTTTATTGTATATTGATTAAGTTCACAATGGGCCGCAGCTCTCATCGAAGCTGGCACTCGATGGCTCGAGAAGAGTCTCATTGCCTGACAGGCGTTTGATTTCTATTGATTTGCAGCTCGTTTGTTTGCTTTCTATAATTTGGCCAGGTAATTTGGCGAATCACGAAATTGTCTTTAATGACGCGAGGCTTTAAAAAAATGTTTATATATATATATAGTATATAGCCAAGACAGTTGTGGCGCTCAGCGGAGCGTAACTAAACTAATGTTTCTTCTGGCCAACGTGTTCGCTCTCTTCGGCCATTAGACTTGGCCTTTATTTTACTTCTTTTTTTGCCTCGATCAGTCGAAGCTTTTCAATATGAGACTATTAATAAATAAGAGCTGCATTTGGCACATGGAAATCGAGAGGAGACAACCTCAATTATAGCTTAGCTACCGTTTACCGTTTGGTCTGATCTTCTGCTGGCACGCAAGGAATTTCTACGCACAGAATTCGATTTTTTGTTGTTTCCTTTACAAATTATGGATCACTGATCGCTGTTGCGCTGATCGTGCGGATAAACTTAAATCGAGCCGATGCCGTACCCTAAACCAGAACCTCTTTTTGGGCTGCTGCAGCTCCTGCGTTTCGCTTGCCTCTGGCTAGTTTGTCAAATGCCAGACAAAGCAAAAGAAAACAATAAAAAAATCGTTGCCAAAAAATTTATGGCAATTATTGTAGAAGATCGACTACGAGTTATCCTAACTAAAAATCTAAACACAAAATAATAATAATTATAATTAAAAAAGAAACAACAAATTTTGAAAAGAATATAAGAAAATTTAAACATTATATAAAAATTCTATTAAAGTACATTTAGAGATTCAATTTGTATTAATTTTGTATTTAATAAGTATGTCAAATTTTCTTCATAAAAAATAGTTTACTTCAAACTATATTTTTATTATATAAATAAACATTTATTTAAATTAAATAAAATTTAATTTCAGCTTGTGTAAAAATCTAAGAAAATTTTAATGTATAAAAACAGATTTAATTTTCTTTTCATTAGAAGAGTATTTACTCTAAAGGGAATACTGGAAGCATATAGTTTCCATATATTAAATTTATACATAAATTAAATTATTATTATATTATTATTGTATATCTTCATCATTCTTTGCTTTCCTATGCTGGGCCTGATGGCACAGTTTTTAATATGCTTAAAATATATTTGCAGGGTATAAAGTTGCTATGGAATTTAATAAGAGGCAGCTACTATGTGGCAGTAGCCACAGCCTCAGACGCAACGTCATCAAGTGAACAGCGACGATCGACGGCGTCTGCTTTCTACAGTAGCCGCATCGAGTTAGCGATCAGCGACAGCAGCCATCGATCTTGTGTTATAATCATCGTCAGAGGCGAGCCTGAAGAAGCCAACGCAAAATTCATTTACGCTTTAATCAATTTCATTCAGAGCAGAGACTGAAGAGTCGAGACTCGAGATGCGAGACTACAGACTGAAGACTATAGCAAGGAGAGCTTCTGCAACTTTTAGCCTTAGGCAACCGCCGACAATTTTCAGGCTTACATTGATCTTTTGTGCATGGACTGCATATTACGACTTTGGCTGCGACTTTGACTGCGACTGCGTTCGATGCCACGCCCCATTGTTGGCTTCTGTTGGCCACATGTCAAAAAATTGACGAAAATTCGATCAAAATTTTAATTGATCGCCCTGCAGTGATGCGGTCTCCACCTAAAATTGATCTCGCTCTGCGTAATTTTTGGGTACAAGACGAAAGACTCTCCGTGTTGTGATTATGTTAATAGAGGTAGAGGTGCTCCCCTCTCGCTCACTCAGTTGGCGCTGGGGCACAGCCGGAAACTGTTTTGCCAGCGGCTAACAGACAATGTAAGAGATCTATATATATATATATATATATATTTATATATATAAGGGACAGCCTGAGCCTGTTCAGCTGATCCATAATATGCTAATCTTTGAGTTAGTCTACTATAAGCAGCATTGCTATCGTTTGCTCCAGATCTGCACAGGTTCCTCTGCTTCTTCTTTTAATATTAACCTGTCAAAGGCCATAATTGACAACGTTTAACTTTGTCTTTTGTGCGAAAGAATCAAAAAATTTACATTTTTATGGTTCAATAAAATAAATCAAGCAGCGTTCGAGGCAAGCAGCCGGCAGCAGGCAGCAGGCGAAGGCAAAGGCAACATCATCCCGCCATACAGTGGCTGCTGGAAAAGTAATTGCAGCACATAATAATCTCGCATTTAATAATCCTCATTAAAGCGCAAAATCACAACGCGTCGCGGCAGCTAGCAGCCAGACAAACTGAGCTTGCAGTGGAGCAAATATCACCACCTCGCAAAACCTGGACCTGACCAAAAATTAGTAGGGGACTCGGCAGGATTTTTTTTGCTTTCCTCTTTTTGGGCTAAAATTCCAAAACAGAAAAAAATGTGCTGTTAAAAAGGGGGCAGGGGCAAGGGGGCATCAGCGGCAGTCAGTAGGACTCTCGCATCAATCGTTGGATATGATGAGCTGACGTTTGGGTTGACGTTTGCTTGTCGTCAATACGTCGCCCTAATAACACGTCGCAACAGGTAGTCCCCAACCATCAAAGAGCTGGACGGACAAGCTGTATCTGATTGCGACACACACACACGCACACACACGCAGAGACGTCGCACATTTTGGGCGCTACGGAATTTGAGCAATTGCATGAAAAATATGAAATTAGTTGGGCAACGTCGCGTCGTCAAACTGCAAACTGAAAACTGAAATTTTAGTCTTTCAACTGAAGTCTTCAGCTTTGGCTGCTGCAGCGTCTTCTTGACTTTTGTTGCTTCTTGCTGCTGGACTTTTAATGTGTTTTAATCATCTGCAGTAGCAACAGCCGCAGCAGCAGCAGCAGCAGCAACAGTAGCAGCAGTTTTTTCCCCGCTGCGTCCCGCTAAATTGTTTTTTATTATCGTTGGCGATTTTCATCTCCCTCTCTGATCCTTTGTGCACATCGTGGCACATTCCATTGGGCTATAAATCGTTCGACTCAGGCACCATGGCGCTGGCCAGCTTGCCAGCTTGTCCTTGTCCTTGGCAATATCATTTGATTTACCAGCCATAGGCATTAATTGTTTTTGTGTCATTTAATCAGTTTTCAAGCGACTGTTGCGTGATGTGAATTCTGAATTACAAATTGCGAATCAGCGAACTGATCGGACACGGACAAGTTGCTCGTAGTTCGCGGGGTTTTCGGGTAGATTAGCCTAAAGTTTTTATCCGAGAGTTCTTGTCCGGAAGACTATCCATAAAATATTATGGATCTTATGTTGATCACTTGATCTGGCCAGTTGAATATTGATTAAGTGATTCAACTATATTGATCAACTGCTCAACTGATCTTGTGTGTGCTCTAAGGATAATTAAGAGACAATCTTTTAATATTGCGATCGCATGTTTAAAACTGTTAATCAGACTTACCCTATCCACTGATCTACTGCTACTTTCTTCTTAATTCTTATTAGATTTCCAGTTAAAGCAATCCTCAGTGATCAATTAAATTGCAGATCGTGCACCTAGCCGTAAGCTAAGTGAGCGTCCGCGGTCTACTGATCTACTACAGCTTTTCTACATTATAGAAAAAGCTGATCTATTAGAATTGTAGCTGATCTTTCAAGCTCTCAGTGAATGTGAGCCGCCATATGCTGAGCTAAGCTATTGCTATCGACTCAGTTTCTTTTGATCTTATAATCACTTGATTAGAATTATGAATTCTATCAATGACTAAGACTTCATTACATTGTACCCGCATCTATGGTAGTTTTTAGATGATCTCACAAGCAGAAGATCGTGTGATGGAGTGCATAAAAATAGTTATTTGGTATAAAACCTATTCTGATCAAAGCTAAAGGTAAAAGTAACTAACTTTGTGAACTGAAGCTTGAGTTATCTTTGATGATCAAAACGGGGAAATGAGATCTATGCTAATGATAATTTGATCTTGTGACAGTCTAGCTTTTCAACAGTTAGCATAGCTACTCCAGGAAGAGATAAGCCATGCTCGTGCCTCTGCAAACAGCTAACAAATGTGATCTTGGCTAATAGTTTATATGGAATGCGCAGATAAACTGATCTAGTTGTGAGCGATCGTGTGATCATCTGATCGTATGACTGGCTTAGCAAGACATTTATTTTCTTTTAATCAATTATCATAACAAACATTGTGAGCACTCGTATGCTCAAGGCTATAGAGCTAACACTAGCTAAGCACACAGCAGCTGATCTGTGTCTGATCGTGTGGGTTCCTCAATTAGTTGTCATAGCTAACATGAATTCTAATTGCACAGTTGTCACTGTCACTTAACGTGTTGCTGTCGTGTTGTCTGTCAGTTGGAGTAGGCGTTGATCGGCGTTCGTTGATCGTCGATCGTCGATCGTCGATCGTTGAGCAGCGAACGATCGTTGAATCTTGTGATCTTAATCGCTGTCGCGTACAAGTTTCCAGTCGCAGTCGAACAGCTACCAGTTCCATTGACATTCCAGCTTGTCTGAGATTATGTCTGCTTTAGACTTGTCTGGCTCTGGTTTACTTTTTAGTTTGCTGGTTTCTTTTTTGTATTTTTTTGTGGCCAATGGGCCGGCACGATCTTCGCAATACCAATACCATTGGCTGGCTGGTTTTGGCCTTTTGCGGCTGTAGCATGCGCTTTTTGTGATTGGGTGTTGGCCCGTTTTTATGCTATCAACTGTTGTTGTACTCTGTCTGTTATTAATTATCAACGTTGGCAAACGACGCGCCACCGATGATCGTCTCTTTGTCATCATCATCTTGAGCCAGCCAGC